CAGGGTCTTGTACCCAGGTTTTCTGTATAAATAAAGTATCAAATTGTCTTTAAAAAAATTAAGAAATTCTGGATCATTAAAAAATATATATATGCCACCCTCCCCATATCCCCTCTTTTTATTTTTTATTTTTTTTAAAATATTTATTTTATTGCTACAAAAACTATACAAGGGAGGGGAGTGCATGGAAATACTAAAACTAACACGTGGAACTACAAGAATAAAGCAAGGATCATAATACCACGAAACAAACGTATTTGCCTTCCTACAATTTAACAATAAAAGAATGATACTGAATGCCTTCTTACCATAGGCCCCGGTCACATTTGCCGCACTAAAGGCATGAATGTCAGGCGGATTTTTGGGGTGCAATCACACCATAACATCTGGGAACTGTAGCTCACCCATGGCCAACCCGTGATGTCCCGCCGAAGATGCGCAGTAAAAAACTACCTCGTAAAGTGCACTAATATCCGGAAAATGTGGGGCAGGGGTGGGTGTCTGATCATGGGAGCACTAGTATCCCACAGCATCTGGTGCCCGTCCACGTCTCATCACAAACCGGATGTTTTTCATAAGCACATGTGCACAAACACGTAACTGAAAGCAGTGCTGCTCCGCAGAACTGCACATGTGCACAAACGCAAAACGCTTGCCACACCGCTTCTTTGCTACATTCCAGCATCGCAATGTGATCACCAGCTAACAGCCTAAGCATGAAGACTTGGGGGACTGTGTGATCGGGCTACCGCACTTTATTTTGCTCTGGGGCAAACAGCCATGCCTCCCCTCCGCGTTATCTGGCCTGTGTGACTGGGGCCATAGCAAAGCTAACTTAAGCCCTTTTAACCAAACATTGGGTACATTATAACCTATTATTTTTATACAACAAGTAAACTTTCAGAATTGCATTACATTACAAAAATTTATTATCATCTCCTGAGTTTATTTTTCTCATATTTCAGCTTAAATTTGAGAGTTTTAGAAGCTGCTTCTCCTTTTTCAGAATCAGAATCTTCTGGAGAACTACCAGAATTGCTTAGACTGTCATCAGATTCATGATCACTTTTGTCTTTTACATGTGTGTTGTCTTCTGTTTATTTTTGGTCGCTCCTTGTTGCTGTTCCAAGAAAGTCTTTGCTTTCTGGGCAGAATCAATTTTCATCTTTTTATTGTTGAATGTAAGTCCATCTAGGAATGTCCATCTGAAGGGAATGGAGTGATTATGCAGGAAAAAAGTTAAATTTTTGTATCGTCATCTCCGTTTTTGTATCTCAAATGGAGTGTCTTTCAAAATCCTCTCTTCCTCACCTTTGATTTTCAGAGGGTTCCCATTTGTCGCTTTAAGGATTGCATCTCTGGTTGATCTTCTGAAGAATTTGACAAATATTTCACCAGGTAGCTTATTTTTCTTAATAAAGTCAGGGTAGGTTCGATAAACCAGGTCCATATTGTTTTGTAATGCATCCGCTTTAAAATCTACCATTGGTGCCAATGCATCACTTAATATTTCTTTTAAATTCTCCCCTTTCTGTCCTGGCATACTTTGAAAATGTAGGACATACATTGATATCTCCATTTGCAGCTGTAGTAATTGCTCTTTATCAGAGATCCGCTCTTTTTCCACGACCTCCAGTCTCTGTTTAACATAATCAGTCTTAACATCAACTTGTTTAATAGCTTTATCTGCTCTTTTGTCTATTCCCATCAGTTGTTTCTGGAAACAGTCAAGTTTATTTTTGATGTTAGACATGTGGTCCAGCAGAGGGCACAACACCGCTGCCATCATATTAGGGAAGTCAGTAACTACTTCCGGATTAAGAGTAGAAGCCACTGAATGGGTAATTCCTGGAAAAGGTCTTTTTTTCAATGCCATTTTCTCTCCTCTTCCCGACATCTTTACACAAGGTAAAATCCATTTAAAAAGACTGAAAGTTCATCAATTTCACTGCACTTTAGGCTATTTTGTAGCCTGTTTGCTTAATTTAAAATTCTCTTGCCACACCCATTGCTTTTGCTTTCAAACTGCCGTTCAGGTACTGCTGTTTTTTCGTGAGGGGGGAATCCCCAACTCCACCCCTCCCTCTACGTTAGTTTGGTGCCTTAAAGCTGTTTCTCTGCTTTGCCGGCTCAAGTAGCTTAGGGGGATTTGCTGAACTCATAGTCCATTCAGTCACTTAGTTGCTTTTTCAAGCTGCAGGGAGATCAGTATAATGCTGGATCACTTGCCTGCATCGTCCAGTGTGCATGTCTGTGTGCCATATTGGCCTCGTGGCGGCAGGACATCTTGAAGTAAAGAGGGGCCTCAATTCCTTGTCTGTTGCCTTGGAAGAGGCACCCCTCGCACCCCAGACTGAGAGCCTCCTACAAGGGGTCAAGGGGGGCTCAGAATCATCCACATCCCCTCCTGCCCACATCAGAGCTCGATAAGGCACGCCTGGTCCATAAGTCACCGAAACTGGAAACTCTCCCTCTTCTATCATAAAAATTACAGCTGTTTCTTGCAGCAGCTCCATTGTTGAGAATATGTAGTTTGTGTGGTAGGTAGTGGTAGGCTGGTAGCCTTCAGATTTGCATTCCATCTCATGATAGGTGGCGAAATCCTTATTATAAGTGGCATTATCTATGTTGGCATTGGTAGGTGGAACAAAAGGTAGAACTGGGACTAAAGTTGATGGAGGATCGTGTTCTAAGCTATGGTGGAGATCTTGGGTTGATGAGAGTTCCTTTAATTTCTGAAGTTTTGTGTTTAGCCAATCCAGGCTTGTTGTTATTGCTAGTTGCTCAGCTTCTGGGAGAGTCAAAAAGAAATTTATTAGATCTTCTTCAATGGAATTGTCCAAATGTAAATTCTCAGCTCCACCTTGAAAGTCTTTAAGTGAGACTGCTGTATCCACTAACTAACACCCCTCACTCTTCTTTTCAGTGTAGATTCTGTACTGAAGGATAGTCTTCTTAGCTACAAGTGTCTGGTCAAGTACACCCTGGATCAAGCTTCATGGATGCTGCACTGCTGTGCTCTGCTCAGGAGCTGAGGGAGCACTGTTCTATGTTCTTGTATTCTTGACCTTTAGAAGGTTTTAAGTGATGCTGCAAACCTATTTTATTTGCAAGGATTTTTGATAGGGTTTAATCTGTAGGTATTTTCTTTGGGGGGATGTAATAGGATTTTATTATAACTAGTATGGGTTGCCTCCGTTGCATTTTTTTTTTGCTTGTAGTAGAGTTCTTGCCTCATCAGAAAGCCACTTTGCTTTCTTGCATTTCTTTTTCTTTGGGATGGTGGTGATTGCTGCCTCCTGTACAATGTCACGAACCTCCGTTCATAGTTCTTCAGGCACTCTATCTATCAAATCTAGACCCTTGAATCTATTCTTCACCTCTACTGTATATTCATCAGGGATGCGATCTAGGTCAAACCTGAATGGCCTCGTGGTTTTCCCAATTTTCTTCAGTTTAAGTCTAAATTTTGCAATGAGTAGCTCATGATCTGAGAGTCCCTTGGACTGCAAGAAGATCAAATCAGTCAATCCTAAAAGAAATCAACCCTGACTGTTCCCTGGAAGGCCAGATAAGGAAACTGAAGCTCAAATACTTTGGCCACCAAATGAGAAGGGAGCACTCACTGGAGAAGACCCTGATGCTGGGAAAGATTGAAGGTCAAAGAAGATGGGGACGGCAAAGGATGAGATGGTTAGACAGTGTCATAGATGCAACAAACATGAAACTGAGCAAACTTCAGAGGACAGTGGAAGACAGGAGGGCCTGGCGGGATCTGGTCCATGGGGTCGCAAAGAGTCGGACTCGACTGAGCGACTGAACAACAAAAGAGTTCTTGCACAAGCAGTGAAACAAAAAAGACCATTGCATCCACTTTCACTAAGTGAATGTGACTATATCCCCATTAGAGTTTTCATTTGAACAAATCTTGTGCAACCAATTTCTGGGTGCACTAATATATAGGGAGGAAGTTGCTAGGTGTTGCACAACATCTTGTGCAAGCAGAACAGCACTAAGGCCATTAATGTTTCCACTTGCACATTGCTGGATCCATATTTTTAATCTTAGACTTGTAAATTACATTGAATGACACACACACACACACAAAGAAGAAGAAGAAGAAGAAGAAGAAGAAGGAAGAAGAAGAAGAGGAGGAGGAGGAGCAGGAGGAGCAGGAGCAGGAGGAGGAGTTTGGATTTATACCCTGCCCATCACTTAGAGTCTCAGAGCAGCTTACAAACACTTTTCCCTCCCCCTCCCCACAACAGACACCCTATGAGGTAGGTGGGGCTGAGAGATCTTTTTCCAGAACTGTCCTTGAGAGAACAGCTCTGACCAAAACCATGGCTTGCCCAAGGTCATCCAGCAGCTGCAAGTAGAAGAGTGGGGAATCAAACCCAGTTCTCCCAGATTAGAGCACGTAACCACTACACCAGACTGGCCATATAGTAATAACATTAAATAAATACTAACTTGGGGGGGGGGGAGGAAATCAATTTCATTGTAGACAGTTAAAGATTTCCCAAAGTTCCAGGGTCATCTCAGATTACAGCTTGGTCAGATTTGTCTTTGGAAGTGTATTGGAATGGAATGCAATCCAGTGAGGAGGCCAAGGGACAGGGGACCTTGTTTGGATTGAGAAATGAGACTGCAGAACATTTTACACTCATTCGCATCAAGCATCACATGTGCAGGCTTTCAAAGATAATAGAAAAGGCATACAAACCAAAAGATATCAAACACTTATCCTTTTATAAGAACAGTAGGCTAAAGGGGAAAGCAAACAACAAAGAGCAGAATTGCTTGAATTCTGCACATTAAGCTGATCAGTTAAATTAAGAACACATTAAGAACACAACAGTTAAATTAAATTAACACATCACTGAGAAAGGAGTCATCACAGAATCATAGGCTTAATTGTTTCCTACACATTGTACTCGTTTTGTAGATACGAGAAAAACCAAATTTACTGAAAAAATATCCCAGGCCAAAAGAAGTATTTAATTATTTCTTCCAAATAATTGCTCTCTCTGGTTTAGCTCAGGTTTCAGAAGAATAATGTAACATTTTGGGGTAAAGATACAGCCCAGTAACCCAGCGCTGGAGGCTAGGATAGAGAAGATCTCCACTGCCACCATATATTTCCCTTTGGTGCTCACGTAAGTGGGGAAAAAAGACACCCAGACACTACAAAAGACCAGCATGCTGAAGGTGATGAATTTAGCCTCATTAAAACTGTCTGGCAACTTCCGGGCTAGGAAAGCCACAGTCAAGCTTATCAGAGATAAAAGTCCTATGTAGCCCAGGACCATATAAAACATGGTCACAGACCCTTCATTACATTCTGCAATGATCTCTTCATTCAAGGACTGTGTGTCCAACTGAGGGAAAGGAGGGAAGATTCCTAGCCATACTGTACAAATGCCTGCTTGAATAAGTGAGCAAGATAAGACAATGGAGTTGGTCAGTCTTTTCCCCAGCCACTTCCTCATACTGGACCCTGGTTTGGTGGCCATGAAAGCAACAACTACAGTGACAGTTTTGGCCAAGACACAAGAAACGGCCACTGAGAAGATAATGCCAAAGCAAGATTGTCGGAGGAAGCAGGTCACCTCCCTTGGTTGTCCTAGAAACAGGAAACAGGAGAGGAAGCAGAGGAGAAGGGAGATGAGCAGAATATAGGTGATATCCCTGTTGTTGGCTTTGACTACCGGTGTAGCTTTGTGCTTAATAAAAGTTCCTAGTACAAAAGTTGTGATGGTGGAGAAATAAGCTGCTACCAAAGCTAAACTAATCCCTAGAGGTTCTCCATAAGATAGAAAGCTTATTCTCTTGGGAATACATTGATCTTGATCCTTGCTTGGATATTGATCTTCTGGGCATTTGAAACAGTCATCCATGCCTGAAAAGAAAAGGAAGCAAAGCCATCTCAGTGCCTGGTCACATGTGATTTAGAACAAATTTCCATGACCACCTATGATATCCGAAGAGTGTGAGAACGTTCTTCATGTTGACTTCTGATTGCTGGTTTGATATGTGAAAGTGGTCCCCTGAAAAGGCATTTCATCCCCCCCCCGACTTATACTTCTCCATTAATTACTTTCAGAGGGTATCCATGTTGGTCTGAAGTAGAACAGTTAGATTCCAATCCAGTAGCACCTTAGAGACTGACAAGAGTTTCATGATATAGGCTTTCCTAGAGTCAAAGCTCCCTTTGTCAGACACAATTAGAGTAAGTACGGAGATCTCCAAAGAAGGGAACTTTGATTGTCATAATGCTTATTCCCTGAAAGTCTGGACTGGACTCTAACGGTATTAATTATTTTGCCTATTGTTACATTCGTGTGCTTTTTAAAGGTTATTTGTTGTGGACAAACTACTGTATTGGGATCCTACCGTAGTTCTTGAGAAGCTTGAGAGAAAGGCAGGTACATAAATCTTCTAAAAAATCATTAAGAATTTGATTACTCTTCAACACCTTTGCATGCACTCCTTGAAAACAGTGAAAGCTTGAGCTGAAAGCATTTCAGAATCTCCTAATTCACCTTACACTAGGAATGGATAACATAAAGGGTAACCAAAAGCATTTGATTTACTTAACAACCCCTGGAGTTATAGATCCTTTCTGAAGTTTTGATTGCCCAACTTGATCATTATCTACATCTCACATGCAATGCTCCCATAAGCTGTGGAGTCTTGTGAGCAAAAATTCTACTTTGTGAGCTACTGGCATTAATGTTGTGAGCAATCCATTTGGCTACTGCAGAAATTAGTCTGCTCTGGAGCCATCCTTCCTGAATAAAGACAAAAATGCATGAGCCAGAGGTTAAAAAACTGTGAGTGAGGTCACACTAACTCAGCTTAGAGGGGAACACTGCTCACATGTAGCTGACCACTATGTTTTCTTTTCCTTCCCCAGATTTCTATTCCTCTGCACAAATCCTCCTATCCTTTTGTGAGCGTATGCAGTAGTAAGTTACCATTGCCATCACTGGGAATTTTCAAGAGGCTCTGGAAAACCATTACTTTAGACGGGGAGTCTACTGGAGGCCCTGGGACAACTGTTTATAAAGATAGCCACACCCAATTTGCACAGAATATAGTCCTTCTAATCTGAAGATAGGCCAAGGTTCAAGCAAATTGACCAAGGGGTTCAATTTTACAGACCCACAAAGTAGTTGTCTTTCAGCATAGGAGGACTTCTTTCCACTGATTCCGATTAGGCAAGGGGAAATCGCACCATCCACCATCAATTTAAAAAAATGCATTATTGTCATTTCTCTAGTATTACACTAACAGGGATTTTTGTAAAACTTTCCATTGAAAACTCTGACTTAGCCACCTTTCCTCACTGTGGTCTGTTTCATTTCAGAAAGTGAGGAATGAGGGACTTGCTGTGGCTGAAGCGGCTTTTCTTCAACCCAATGACACCAAAATTGCATCAGGTCTAGAGGTTTCCTGAGCCTCTGGAATCAGAACAAACCACATGGAGTTGGATTCTGAACCAGTAATATCTTTCACGAACATCGTAAAATTAGTCCCCCTTCAACTTTTGATGTGAAATTATCATGATTTTTTCCTAGATGTATACCCATTGTCTACTCAGAAGAGCTACTATTTTCAGTGGTGCTTACTCCCAGAAACATGAGCATAGAACCATATCCTAAATAACCTACCCTTTTGGTCTGAGATCTTCCCTTCTGGGCAAAGAGCACAATCATAGCAGCAAAATTTCTCCCCTTCCTTCTTTTTCCTCTGATAACCAGGAGGGCAGTAATCACTACATACCGAAACAGGCAGCACCTATCCACACATGAAAGAAGTTTGGGAAGGGAGAATTCAGGCATTCCTTAGATTTCAAGAGGTGGTATGGAAACAGACAATGCAGATGGAATGGAACAATGCAAAAGCAGGTGTCATGTTAACAGGTATTATTTGTTATATTTATTAGATTGATAAGGAACATTTTCAAACTGCCAACAATCAATTTAGTGCTTTCTTCTGGGCAAAGAAGACTGGCCTAGAGGAGGTTGGTTATTTGCAGCCAATGAAGAAAACTCAGGGCTCTTTTGGTAGCAGGAATTCATTTGCATATTAAGTGACACACCCCTAATGTAGCCAGTCCTCCAAGAGCTTACAGTAGCCCTGTAAGAAGAGCTCTGTAAACTCTTGGAGGATTGGCTACATTAGGGGTGTGTGGCCTAATATGCAAAGGAGTTCCTGCTACAAAAAGAGCCCTGAAAAAGAGTGATGGAACCACCCTACAGGAGTCGCTGCAGAGCCGAAAGCTGAGCCCCCACAGAATCGGATGAAGAAGAGCCGCTGGATAAATAACTAGCTGGTAGGGTGCCTGGTAGGCATTCCCCTCCCCCAATATATACTGTGGCCCTAGCTAGGACTGTTAATTGTATAATGTAAACCGCTCAGAGCCCTTCGGGGTTGAGCGGACCAGAAATCAAAAGTTAAATAAATAAATAAATAAAATCTATAAAAATGAAAATAGATTCCGGTGGGTAGCCATGTTGGTCTGAAGCAGCAGAACAAAGTTTGAGTCCAGTGGCACCTTGAAGACGGACAAAGTTTTATTCAAGGTATATGCTTTTGTGTGTATGCACACTTCCTCAGATATAAAAATGAAGGCATGGAAAATGAACCCTGACTTGGATGGCCCAAGCGAGCCCAATCTCGCCTAATTAGTTTCAGCCCTGCTCAGTACTTGGATGGGAGAACACCAAGGAGTTCCAGGGTTGCTACACAGAGGCCGGCAATAGCAAGCCACCTATGAATGTGTCTTGCTTTGAAAGCCTTACCAGGTCAGGATAAGTTAGCTGTGAGATGTCAGTAAAAAAAAAAGGATGTCAACAATCCATTGTTTCAGAAGTACTGATCGAATGTGTCTTGCTTTGAAAGCCTTACCAGTTCACGATAAATTAGCTGTGAGATGACAGTAAAAAAAGGATGTCAATAATCCATTATTTCATAAATACTGATAATTTTAAAATGCTTTCAAATGCTGACTAGAATAGATGTACCTGCCACTTTAATTTCATACCTTTCTTTAAGTTTTTGTATGTGAAAGATCATATTTGGATTATAGCCAGGTCAAGGCACAGTAAAGCATCCCCCCCCCAAAACCCAACTGCTAGAATGTTCTCATCTCCTTTGAGAAGATGATGATGACAGTAGTGGTAATAATAACAATAGGAATAATAGTAATCATACCTGGTTAAAAGGTCTTTGCCATACAATTAGATCCTCGTGAATAACTAATTTGCTGCCTTCCAAAGAATCAAGATCTAAACGTCCAACTTTCACTCGAAGGAAAGATTTGTTTTGGAATGTGACCAGATTCATTAGATCAAACCCAGATTCCACTTCCATGTTACCATTAAAAGACACATGTCCTCCAGCTGAGTTATTAAATGAAATGCCTTGAAGAAACCGGTGGAGCTAATTGAAAGAGGGGGAAGGATAACATATTGGAGTTTCACTGCCCAAGTACCTCCTACCTCTACGTGAAGCACTGCTGCTATTACTGAACGCCATGTTCTGTGATAGATGGGTGAAAACCCAAAGAGGAAGACTTTTCAGTTGAGGCACCAATCTTAATTCCTTTCCCAGCGGGATTTCTTTTTCCCTTCAATCATTATTCTTCCTCCAACAGATGAAGACTTTTAGTCTTCGTTAGGTGTTGTTCTCTCAGTGACCTTAACAGATCCTCATTCCTGTGTATGTCTTTAAGCATGTCGGTGTATGTTTTTTGTGTTTTGTTTAATTGTTTTTCATTGTTTTCTAGGAATGCACTTTAAAATTTGCTTTAATGTTCTGACTGCTTGCTGCCTGGAGCACCCTGAACTAGGTGGAAAGGCAGCACAAACTCCTTCTAAATAAATAAATTAAAGTTAATTTCTGTGTTCACTTAGAACTAGTGAGACCCGGGTTCAAATCACCACTCATACAACAACTTCATTAGGTGAATTTAGATCAGTCATTCATTCTTTCAGCATATGTTACATTCACAGGGCTGACCCTTTGAGGAAGGTTGTGGAAAAACAGAGTCTTGTCCTTCTCCAAACCCCCTGATTCATCCACTTTCTTTTATCAAAGGCACAAAACAGCATGAATTGGCCAGGATGGTAAACTATATATTTACATGCATCGGGAGTATGGTGTGGTTAAGAGTGTCAGACTAGTATCTGGGAGAACTGTGTGTGAATCTTGACTCGTGCTATGGAATCTTACTGGGTGACTTGGGCCAGTCACACTCTCTCAGCCTAACCTACCTCGCAGGATTATTGTGAGAATAAAATGGAGGAGAGGAGATTGATGTAAACCCCTTTGAGTCTCCACTGGGAAGAAAGGTGATGAATAAATGGATTAAATAATAAATTAATATTTCTTTCACTTGGTACAAGTATAGAAGTAAATGTCAACCCACAAAACTTTTCATAGAGTCAATTAATCACAGTTACTTGGAGTTTCACTGCCCAAGTACCTCCTACTTCCAGCACAAAGACCTTCTAAAATCGATAAATTGAAGTTAATGTCTGTGTTGGGTTAGGAGTAGTGAGACCCAGGTTCAATTCACCACCCAGACGATGACTTCATTCGGTAAATTTAGGTCAGTCTTTGTAAGGAGTCTTGTTAAATTCAGTCATTACCTCTCTCCGCATATATTACCCAGACAGGGTTGCTCCTTTGTGGAATGGTGTGGAAAAAATAGAGTTTTGTCCTGCACCAAACCACTTGATTCATCTAATTTCTTTCTTCACCAATCACCATGAATTGACAAGAATTGCAAACAATATTTTTACATACATATTGTGCGTCAGTATGGTGTAGTGGTTAAGAGTGTTAGACTAATGTCTGGGAGACCTGGGTGTGAATGAGCTCACTGGGTGACGTGGGTCCATCACACACTCTCAGGCTAACCTACCTTGCAGGATGGTTGTGAGATTAAAATGGAGGAGAGGAGAATGACGTGACCTCCTTTGGGTCCCCACTGGGAAGAAATGTGGGGCATGAATGAATTAGATAATAGATTAACATTACTTTCTCACATGGTCCAAGTATAGAAGTAAATGTCAACCCACAAAACTTTTAAATGAATAACTGAGTCAATGCATCATAGTCACTGTTATTGGGGGGAGTTTTGAATGTTCTACTCTGATCATGAAAGAAGATGCATTTCATTTCATTACCTGCCAGGGCTGGAAATCTTGAAATTCAATTTTTTTATTGTCCCCCATTGCTCTGAGATTGGATCTTGAGGAGCGCATGGCATTCAAAGCATGTGCTATGGCATAGACTGCGTTGTAAATGCTATAGCTGTGACCAGTGATGTGCCTTTCAAAAAAAGGCTCTGGGAGGCTCTCTAGCTTCTCCTCCCCAGTACATGCATCACTGACATCCACTGGTACTCTAGGATCTGGACACAAACAGTCAAAAGCTAGCTCCCAGAATTCCTTGAGAAAACCATCTTCTGGTGTATAACAAGGTTTCAAAATCTGAAGAAATTTCTGGAACCCTTGAAGTTCATGTGAATGAATCGTAAAGGAAATGGCACCATGGAAGAACTGGAAACCACAACTTCTTTGACCTCCTGTTATTGTGAAATCAACCTGGGCAGTAATAATCCAAACACGTTTAAGTGATGTATTATACGTATACCCAGGGTCTCCTAGGTACATCAGAAAGATCATCCTTACAAGAGTCCTAGATTCTCCATAAAGGATAAATGTCCTGGCTTTTCTTTCCATGAATGGTAGGTACATATTTGACAATAAATCATTGTAGTCTGCCAAGGTATTCCAATCTGCACGGTTAGGAATTCTTCCTGTGAGAGCCAAACAGATTCCATTTCTGGAAAGCAGTGGCTCCAGGGTCTTCAAGAAATGTTCTCCACTCTCATCATCCACAGCTAAAAGCCCAACCCATGTCCACTCAAAATGGAGAAGCAACTGAATAATCCCCGTATACTGATGTGCTTCATTTGGGGCCATGCGGAAAAAGGAAGGAAAATGTGTTGTACCCTCATCCTCTGGGGCAAATGATCCATACGTGACCTAAAAAGAAAATGTATATATGTTATGGAGATGAGCTAGGAGGAGTGTCCATATATCATATACCATTTTATGCAATTAAAATTTGCGAAAATTATCTGAGGATATGGTGCTAATGAAAGTCACATATCATTCTAGTTAGCTTTCACTCAATTATCTAAATATTCATTTTCTGGGAAATTGTCATAGGAAAGAAAACTGCTGGAATGACCTCTCTATACCCTTTCTTATTTCTTTTGCCTCTGTGAAAGAATTTTCCCGTTCACTTCAAAATGCCTATCAATCTCAGACTAAGAATATAATGTGTGACAATTCCTACTGCCTTACATACCAATCCTACCTGTGGAATCTTGTAGAGACTTAAAATGTCAGCCACACGGTAAGATATCTCAGAGCTGAGTCCCCCGATGATTGCTATTATTTTGTCCTGGGTCTTGCATTTGTAGTTGGGGACAAATCTATGTGCTCTGAAGAACAGGTCCAGGGTGGTATGATAGGTCATCTTTGCATCATAGTAGCTATCCAAGATGCGGAACCCGAGAGTGATATTAGGCAAAATCTTTGGATTCTTGTTGATTTCATCTACAGCAAATGCCAAGGCAAGGCAATGCTGGTAAAACTTTGTCATCATACTGCAGATAGAGATTTAAAAATGCTTTAAATTAGAACTTCACACTGCATGGTCATTTCTTCCCACTTTGATTTGTCTTTGTACATCCATTGCATGGTCAACAAACCCTTTGTTATGGATCGTTTATGAGCTAATACATACCTTTGTATAAAGTCCTCCAAGTAACTTTTCTGGTCTGGATAACACTTTGATGCACAAATACTATTTATTTCATTACTTTCACTTTACAGCTGACTTTTTTAATAGTAAGAAACCTAACTACTTCTTTGTCACTTTGCAGCATATCTACCCCTCTGCATCTAACTGAGCACAGCAAATATGTGCTGTGAAGGGCTCTGTTGTCCTTTCCTTTTGCTAATCATATACGTTTGCTCCAGTTCATCAAAACCTCAAGTCAAAAGACATAATTGTTTGTCTTCATTTTGGTGTAGTGCTTAAGAGGGGCAGACTCTAATCTGGAGAACTGGGTTTGATTCCCCATTCCTCCAGATGAAGCCAGCTGCATGACATTGGGTCAGTCCCAGCTCTCTCAGATCTCTCTCAGCCCCACCTACCTCCCAGGTTGTCTGTTGTGGGGAGAGGAAGAGAAGGTGATTGCAAGCCACTCCAAGACTCCTTCAGGTAGTGAAGGGTGGTGCATAAAACCAACTTCTTTTTCTTCAGAGGGTTCTTTTTGTTAGTTTCTCTCATTCTCAGTTTTTTTTAATTTTCAGTTCTGACCCTGCCCCCAACCTTCACTTTTTCACATTCTCAGATTTCTAGCAGAATGACATCAGGACAATTCTATAAACAACTTGTAATGTGACACAACATTAAACTGTAGCTCCTGAATACATGAACTCTTTCTGCTGCTCTTGAAGGAAGCTCTGCTTCATAAACTATGAATAGAAATTGCAGCTTTGGATGCTCTGTGGTTAATCTTATCACTTATCAGGAGGCTGGATTGCCAAAGAAAGGCTTAACATAAGAAAATGGTCTGAGGAATCTTTTCATAGAAACAAATAACATCACCTGTTATGGTGACATGAAAGAGGCAGGTAGAATGACTAGTTTAAAAATTGGCCACCCTAGCAGGACAGGAGGCAGGCAAAAGAAGTTTTGTGTGGAATGGCTGGTCATATGAGTTCCATTTTTTGTAACAAGATGGTTTGAATGTTTAGTGGATTAAAATGACTTCTAAAAATGCTTGCATGGCTATATTTCTATTCTACATTTCGGGCTGGATCTGACTGATATTTTTATGCGGGTAGAAAAGAAAGGAGGGGTCCCCTTTGAGCACCCAAAGGGCTGTTGGGGATGTTACTATTTATTATTATTTATTATTTTCAATTTGTATCCTGCCTTTGTTGGGACCCGCATGTTACATAAGAACATAAGAGAAGCCAATGTCGGATCAGGCCAATGGCTCATCCAGTCCAACACTCTGTCTCACACAGTGGCCAAAAATACCATGTTAAAAGATCTTGTGGGTGGAGGCTACACAGACTGAACAAAATAAAAGGTTGGATGGCTTGAAACCTACGTGTTTGCACCAGTAGCCATCACCATGAAAGTAAATCTTTGACCTGACCAGCATATTCTTTCTTTGTCCCGCCTTTTAATTCAAGTAGCAATGGTTATAGGCATCAAGCTCTCAAACAGGGGGAGGAGGAAAAAGAAAACAATCCTTACTCTGGTACCCCCAACATGTTCTGCAAAGGATTGTTTTCAAAAGAAAAAGTGTGAAAGGTGTAAAGGATCTGAGAAGTAATCCCACCAATAAGGAGGTCCCCTGACTGGTACCATTCATGGGGAAGAGGGAGGGGATCACAAACAGGGCATTTGAGATCATGCACTTTGCATGCCACATGAGGCAAAAGGAGCAGCAACACTAGGCTCACCATCCTGGCAGCAGAGCTTCTCTCTAGATGCTGATTCTCCTGAGCTCATCTACAGTCCATCAGGCTACATTGGATGGCACTCGTTTGTGCCTTACAAACCACCTGTTATAAATGCAAGTCTTGACTGCTAGTTGAGATTACAGGTACTGATGTGGTCCATGGGGTTGCAAACAGTCGGACTCAACTGTTCGACTGAACAACAACACCAAATCTCAAATCTGTTTAATCAAAGCAGACAAAATTGAATTAACAAGCCCTGCCTCACCTCTCCTCTTCCCCAGCTCTCATTGTCAAAAGGTCTTTTTTTATTACTTCTCTCAGATTGTTTGCTAGCACTTGCTGAAAAGCCATGGGAGCTTTGGCCTGAAGAATCAATTACAGTAATCCAAAGAATTACAGGAGAAGATAATTGATTGCCTCCAGAGTTCATGTTCACAAGTGGCATGTTCACAAGTACAGTCCGCCCACAGAACTGGGCAGAAGTTTCTTCGTTCTCTTAGTGGGTCAACAAAGTGGGTTCCAAATTCCCATGGGTGAGTAAGAAGGTGTTGAAGCCCAATCGGAAGCCATGATTTTGTTTGGGGATATGGTGTACTGTGACAGGACTGACTTCCAGCTGGGTGTATGTATGTATGAATTTATTCACAGGACTCAAATTTATTCACAGTAATTGACCAACACATAAACCACTATACATATTGTAACAAAACTTCACGTTAAAATAGAAGCAAACATTTTAAGACTGATTATAAAACCATAAAGGTTAAGGTTAATAAAGCTAAATCTCAGTTCTCTTCTTTTCGAGCTACAATAGATTTTCTAATTCTTAGGGCAAGCCATCCAAACCTAGCCACCTGATAAGTAACTTCTGCCCATCTACTCAACAGCAAATTTCTTAAAAGGCAGATTCTTTGCCTGCGAGAGATGGGGAATGTCTTAGGGAAAGGAAGAGATTCACATTTTACAATCAAAAATTACATGTTCTACAGACTCAATACCATCCACACAACAGGGGCATATCCTTTCTTTGTAAGGAGTCTTGTTAAATTTTCCTTCCAGGACTGCAGATGGGAGTACATCCCAATGCATTAATGCTGAGCGTACACAGGGTCACAACTATATATTTACAATGTTTTGATCCTGCTCTTGCCCCACCCAGCAACCCACCTGCACACATGCCAAAACAAATACATGACAGGTTAGCCTAGGGCTTTATTAATGGGCTTTATTAATGCAACAAGACACCACTCACTCTTCTTTTAGTGTAGATTTTGTATTGAATTATTGTCTTCTCAGCTAAAAGTGTTTGATCAAATACACCTTGGATCAGGCTTTATGGAGGCTGCACTGCTGTGCTGTTTCCCATGTACTCACACCCAAACTTGTGCTAAAAGAGGCCTCCTTTATAGCCATTTTTCTTTTCCCGTTGACAGTTAAGGTACAAACAATGCTTCCCAGACCCAAGGGAGTATTCTAAACAAATTCCTTCTTGCCAATAATATTGTGAGAGATTTTTCCTGGGTAAGTTCCATTCACCCTTGGAAGCCTCTAGACACCCATCAGTATACTTTTGAGTTTTGGTGAAAATCTGCTTAATTTTACTAAGAAAACCAGGCCTCCTGACCCATTGTCTGCTGGTGTACTTACTGACAGGAAGTGATAGGAGGGAAACGAACATTTTTATTTATCTATTATTTATTTATACTTATAGTTATACCCCGCCCACCCTGTAAACAGGCTCTGGGGAACTTACAAAAGACAGCAAAATATGCCGATTTCAGGAAAACCATAAAACATTAAAATAGCATAAAACATACTTAGTATATCAACAATAAACATTAAAATGCTCGCAGTATTAAATGATATTAAAGTACATGGCATGTGTTTTCATTCTGGTCATCTTCTGATCTTCAGGCCAGTCCTATGGGCCAGATGTTGAATGGTACTGCTGGTAGTGGGCCAGTCCAATATTCCCGATGTACACATGAGATCGTTGGTGGTAACAGTGGTGGAAGCTCCTATTTGAAAGCCTGGTGGAAGAGCTCTGTCCTGCAGGCCCTGCGGAACTGTGAAAGGTCCCACAGGGCCCTGATCTCCTCCGGGAGCTCATTCCACCAGTAAGGAGCCACTACCGAAAAAGCCCTGGCCCTGGTAACAGCAAGCCTCGCATCCTTGGGGCCCAGAATAGTTAGACGCTGTTGTGCCCCAGACTGTAGTGCTATCTGGGGAACAAATGGGGAAAGGCAGTCCCTCAGATTTACATCACTTACTGTAAAATCCAAATGTGACATAGAGGACACTCTAGCATTTTTCAAAATACTCTATAGTAAAACCATGTGTTTTTGTGAACAACTGAGTATATAAAGATGTCATTCCAGGTTTTTACCAGAAGTGATGTCAGTGTGGTGCCCTCACCCCCAATTTTTCCTAGGGTTTTCTGCCTTAGGCATGTCAACTTTAGCTGTTTATGTCACACACCCAAAAGGATAGCTAAGGTTAACTTTCCTCACCCTGTCTGTCTTCCATAAGGACACAGCTAGTCCTGCAGATCAGCCAATCAGTTTAAAAAAACTCCCATCACTTCTACCTCCAAGAAATATGGAAGGAAAAGTTTATAGCTGAGAGGAAACTAGCTCCTCCTCCTATCAAGGGCCACATGATCCTTCCTTCAACTTAATGGTGGTGTCTGTCATGCTGCCCCTGACGTGGCCTCAGAAGCAGGGCTTGACAGCCAGGGACAGGAGGACTTGGCTCCTTTAACAGAAGAAACTGTAAGTTTTGAGGAGGATACCACTCAGCAAGAGCCACCTGAGGTCAATCAGGTACTGCCGAGCACAAGTGCATCACCACCAGACTCTCCTCCACCTGTCAACAGGCTCCAAGACCGAAGGCGTCAGGAGCTGAATGAGAGGTGAAAGGCTGCATGCATGTGTGATCAACGCTCGCTCAGCCCTGAGTTTTGACAGCAGCCTGGACATTGTTTCAGGGAGCTAATGAGATAATGACCCAGCACGCTATTTCAGCAGACCTGTTGCCTTGAGCAAACCGTGCTGGCAACGTTGATGTCAGGACCAGACACTCTGTGTGACCTTGCTTCAGATCTTGCGGATTCTTCGGTTTC